ATTATGTATTTATTTATTTCTTTATTTATTTTTAGTCACACCACTGAAAAATTTGGTCGCATTTGCGACCAAATTGGTGGCACTCTAGAGCCCTGTTATATATTAAAAATGTTTTGGTGTCGAAACTGAAGTGGTCCTTTATGGAACTGAAAAATAAGAACATATTTTTGGAGGTAACTAATAAGTTACGTGTGCTAAAGCTAAACTGAGCTTTGGCTAACGTGCTAGCAAACAGTAAAACTTGGCCAGTTCAATTTTATTTATACAGAGGAAGCATTTTGGCGACAGTGGGAAGGAAAAACTCCCTTTTAATAGGAAGAAATGTCCGGCAGAACCAGGCTCAGGGAGGGGCGGGGCCATCTGCTGCGACCAGTGCAGAGAGGTCATAGTGAGTGAAGAAGAGAGGGGCCTGAAAACTGAAGGCTCTGCCTCCCATTCTACTTTTAAATACTCGAGGAACAACAAGTAGGCCTGCAGAGCGAGAGCCAAGTGCTCTAATAGGGTGATATGGTACTACAAGGTCATTAAGATAAGATGGGGCCTGATTATTCAATACTGTGATTATTTTGCCAAATCAGGTGGATTTTGCATGCTGAGCATTAAAAGTGGCGTTGAAATGAAAAGCAATGCAACGTGGAGATGATCTGGTTTACTTCAGCCAACAGCCTCAGCAGTTTTTATTAACATCTGGGGATAAAACCTGTGTCAACATGCCGAGGCTACAGATTAAAAGCACGCTCGTGCTCCGTGAGCATTTCCCTTCTCAGATGGGAAAATAAGACTGATTTCCCTGCATTACTACAGCACCGATGACAACTCTGTTTGGGCCCTTTTAATCATCTGTTTTAGCCAGCAGTCCTTTCCTTGTAGTTCTTTTGCAGTCAAATAATAACAAGAAAGTAGGAATAAGGAAACTCAAGTATTACTACAGCTCTATATGTGCCGGAGGATGCTGTGGGATGAGGTCCAAAGCTCCAGAGAAAGTTGGAGGTAACACCGGACTTTCTAAGTGGAGTTTTAGTAGTGTTTGTGAACACTTGACCTTTGACACATCCTGCCTCATGGCTTGGCCTCGGGCACAGATGTCGGTGCCGTGTTCCCCTCGGCTCTCGGAGGGCTAAGCCGGTTACCGGCCCAGCGCTCTGTGGATTCGTGTTCCTCGGCCTCTGCCTCGGGCCCAGCTGCTGGGGAGCTTCACGGCGACAGGCTGGGGATTCAGCAGATCTACTTTAAAACTCGAGTTGTTGGTGCACTTCCACCAAAACGACTGCACTATAAATTCATGAAGCACCTCATCCAGATGTATTGCTCAGAGCTGCCAGATAGCATCTGTCTGCATCCGATTCACAGACATCTCCGCATAATAGAAGCGAGTCGGGAATATAAAGAAGATGAGTGATAATGTCATGAAAAGAATAAACCAGACGAGCACTTTTAATACTGATCATTGTTCAATGGAGCATTCATAACTCTGTCAGAGATCATCGTCTGTCGATGTTAACATCCAGCATTATTAGGTTTAATGTAGAGAATGGCTAAAAAGGCCTGATCATAATAGAACTTCATTTCAAGACTCAATCTCAGCATAAATACTGAGTTTGAATCTGCAGCTTTATTCATATGAAAATGTCTGAGGCGAGGCCGGACCAACAGAGCCATCTAGTGGAGATGTTTGGGAAGTGTGTTCAGCAAACGTGGGTTATTCTAGAACAGGGGTGGGGAACTCCAGGCCTCCAGGGCCGGTGTCCTGCAGGTTTTAGAGCTCACCCTGGGTCAACACACCTGAATCACATGATTAGTTCGTTTCCAGGCCAATGGAGAACTTTAAATCAGCTGTGTTGGATCTAAAACCTGCAGGACACCGGCCCTCGAGCTCCCCACCTCTGGACTAGAAGAATCACTTCAGGTAAAAACTGTGACAAGTTGCATCACCTTGACAAATTAGGTCAAGTGATAACATCTGCTGAAGACGACAATGGAGTCTATGAAAGGTGAGTAAATAGATCCTAACATCTAGATTTATACATTTAAATGTTTTAATGAAAGTGTCCACGAAGGATTTTAGTTTAAGCGTACAAAAGATGATTTTTACATGACTAATAAACTGAATTATCACCCGACTGTGGTACCTCTTAAATTTAAGGCCTCTAGACTTCCCAGAGGTCAGCGCTGATGCGTCTCTGGGTAACTTCCTGGAGGATCTGTCGGAGCATTTTGATGTTTTTCTGGCTTTTGGCGAGTTTGTGGCCACAATCAGGCTACGCGGCTTTGTTTGGTACTGTTTGTACTTTGGTGAAACACAGTCTGTGCTGCCCAGAAATGCAATTCTTTACAGAACAATGGAAACTCCAAGGTTTTTTTTTTTACCATCCAGTTTTATGAAATATGTGCACGAAGCAGTGGAAACAGGTCCAATTAAAGCATGGCGAGACATAACAGAGGAGGCTGGATCCCAGGTGTGTAATTTAAAAACCAACCAGCTGGATTATTTTTCTAAATGATACACATCTCTGCAGCACTGAGACTTTTTCCACATTAGCTTAGCTGCAAATTTACAACTGGAACAAATCAAGAGTGTGGAGGTCACGGGTTCCCAAAAATGTAGCATACATGTTCATGCATGCACGTATGTATGTTTATGTAAATATTTGAACTCAGATATCTCCAGCTTGCTGCTCTGCAAAGTGTCAAAAAAAACCCAAAATCCATAAATCAGCACAGCTTTTTATGCAATTTGTCTTTTACCCAGAATGCATTGAGGGGTGGATCCGAAACCCCCCGGGGACCCTGCTAAGACGCTACTATATGTGAGAGTAACACGAGCCTGGTGGGCATGAGAAAGACCGCAGGGTTAAGGCTTCACTTGTCAGGAGGAAGGTTCCCCTATTAAAAACGGCACGTGGTGTAGCCAGCGTGAGGAAGCTCGCTTATTACAATGTAACAGCTGACAGTGAGCAGTAACTTATGAGGGGAGAGATCTGAACTTTCTATTTCATGTTCCTGAGTGACGGCCTGACCTGCACTTCCTGCTGAACACCTGTGTTCTCCTTTAAGAGGTGCAGATTTGCGACACAGAGGTGTGAGCATATATTTCACATTCCCTTGGACAGAAGTGATAAATCTCTCCGAGCACACGTTTGGATGCAGGAGAACAAAAATTTGTGTCTCCGCTCTTTAGCGAGGAACTGAGGCTGCGAGCGCTCGTTCGTCTTCATTCGCCGCTCTCAGCCTCCTCACGCTTTCCCCTCATAACTCTCGCTATATATAACCAGCTGCATCGTTCTGCTCCTGCACATCTAAACTCACTTAATCTGGCCTGCACAATAAGGCGAATGGAGATAAATGTCTCAATCAGTAATATTGCTGTCACAAACTCTGTAGAGGGGAGGGGGGGGGGGTCTGCTGCTGCTTATCTGTGGAAACACGTGAGACAAATGAACAGGAGGCGGTTTAAAACAACAAAGATTATACATTTAATATTGTTTCTCTTTTGGGCAATGCGAGATACAATGTAAACATGTACAAGATACAAAAAAAGGAACAAGACTCGTCAAAATGAGACCGTAGATAAGAAAATGTCCTGTTTTCACAAGTAATGCACATGTGCAGAAGGTCTCCAATCAGGAAGGGATCTGGACTGTGTTTGCTCTCATTAGTTTGGTGTGTGTGTGTGGGGGGGGGGGCTTGAATAAAGCTGCATTTGGCTCTTCATGGCATATCTTTTGAAAACAAGGACTCTGCAGGGCTTAAAGCTGCAGTGCACGACTTTGTTATAAATCCAAGACTTCACAGCGCACTCATTAAAGGTACTTGTTGTAAATTCCTGCGAGTAAATACAATTTAAAACCTTCCAAAATTAACGAAAGCAATCACAATGAAATGTGGGGGAAACGAGGGCGGCGTGTCCCTCCACGGGGTGGTGCAGCGTATGGAACACAATGGTGGCCTAGTGGGAGGCCAACAGCAGCAAACATCTGGAAACATCTCAACTCGCGCGCTGTTAAATGCTGCCCCCTGGTGGTGAAACATTTAGTTACAGTTGAAGAGAGCAGTTACAAAAAGGACCTTTAAGCCTTTATGCACAAAGTAAAATCTTTGTCGTTTGCAACTTTTCCTTCTGTCAGTGTGCAGTTACTCTCACTGCCAGAAGGGGGCGACTAAAGTCATGCGCTACAGTTTGAACCTGCTTAAAAACATGGCAATAAAAGCAGAAAGAAAAGAGAGAGGGAAAGAGTAGCACCTCCTTTGGTCCAACTCGAGGCCTGTAGTTGTTGCTGACGTGCTGGTAACAAACTGTTTTTGTCAGAATCAAGAGATCGCGAGATCGCGAGCTCCACGGGCGCTTTGTTTTGGCACACTGCTTTCCACAGCAGGGTGGGGACAGATTCTACTCTACAAATGCACCGGTGAGTTAAAGAAAAACAGGCACCGCCTTTGCCATTAAAATACTACTTCAGCTGTCACTCAGCATCAGTCACTTGTGACAGCTCGCCTCGGCCGCAGCGCTGGGCGCCGTCTCCCACGCAGGAAGCCACGGCGTTCTTTATTGGGAAGCCATTAGTGCTGAAATACTGTCAGACTGGCTGAGGTTAATTAAGACACACTGTTGTGCTAACTGGAAACGGGGATTCAAACGGAGACAAAGAAAGCGCCGCCGAGGCACAGCGGCGCGCCTCCTTCCTCGACACAGCCTCCTCCTCTGGAGCTCCTGCTGATGCCTGCTGGCATCTCAAACGGCTGCGACTGCATGAGGAAGTTTTCAGAGTGACATAAATAATCTGCATCGCCTGATTTTCTGCACTTCTGTTTTACCTGCTTGAGAAAGAGCCCTCAGCATCCGCGGCTCATCTCTGCTCTCACGCTCTAACAAGCAACCAGACGTTAATTAAAAACCTACAAAGCCCCCCTTACATGCACCTCACCTGCTCCCACACACTTACTGAAACTTTCCTATCCAACCTGCCTTCATCTCCTCCACCATCGCTCTGCCTGCCGCCGACTTCTGAAACTTTTTTATGTCTTTCGTTTACAGCTTGAAGGCGTTTCATTAGAAGCCAGCGAGCCCTTCAAATCCCGCCTCACCCCTTTTACAACATTCAATTATTTTCTCAACAAAAACACGAGAGAATAAAGCAAAACATGAAGCCTTTGTCTTATTCTAAAAACTGTTTTCCACCAGCCGGCTCAGCTCTCACCCTCGGGGCTGCGTGAGATGTGAGCAGCAGGAACTCGTATCAGAGGTGGGACCAGTTCTGAAGTTCACCTGGAGACGGGCGGGGAGGCCGAGAGAAGCTGCTGCACCATCAAGTCGTTTCTCACAGACTTTGGAAACTTCAAGCGGCTCAATTAAAACTGTGTTTGACGTAATGAGACTTCACAGCTCGGCTCAGGAGAGGAGCTCATTAGGTGCGAGGTTTCTAGAAAGGTTAGAAAGAGTTTGATAAAACGGGCTTCCTGTTGAAGACATCATTGTTCATCTCCCTCCAATCAAAGCAGAGCTCCTCTCGCCTCCCTGCCGCCTCGTCTCCTCTACCTGATCCGTCGTCTGTCTGCCTGCATCCTACAAACCCCTCCTTGACCTCCGACTTCTCTTTTCTCCAACACACCTGCAAACGATCCATCTCATCACGCACATACACACACTCCACCCTGTCGGGCATCTTTGTGATCTCAGCGGCTCGGCTGTGTCGAGGAAGGAGACGGAGGTGAATCAAAAACACAAAACTGGAAAGGCGCTTCACGCCCGGGAGGCGCTGTCCGTTTGTTAGAATAAAAAGAGAGAGCGAGGAATCAGACGGCCAAGCGGAGCCGTCTCGCTCCGCTGACCTCCGGGAAGATGATGGAAAACTCGAGTGTTTCCTGTAAGACTCGCGGAAACCGTGTTGGCGTGGACACGCCTGCTGAGCTGTGCAGGTGAAAGGCATAAAGTAGCGGACGGTAACCGAGCTATTATTAAAGAGCGAAACTCCAACGTATTATACTCTGACTATTTTCACTTTGCTGCTGAGAGTGAAAGGAGACTGACAGCACTGATGAAACGCTGGAAAAGCAGGAAGTGAGGGACAGGGCTGGGCCACATCATCCCGTTCACGGTAATACCGGTATAACGTTGGGCAACGATAAGAAAATATGGCGATAGAACGTGGGTAACACGCGCATGCGCAGTGCCTGTTTTCATACGCACATGGCGGAAAAAGCACGGCGGCGACGGAGAGAGGAGGGCGAAAGCGGATCGTTGAATGAAACAGTTGAACCAGAACTGGTTTGTAAACTATTTCTTGTCCAGTGACCTGCTGAGAAATTTCATCTTCAACAAACAAATGCTGATGTGGGAGTTTCGGAGCTGTCAGCTTTGAGCTCTTTGCACTTTCAGTTTTTGTGTTTCTTCGTCTAAAAGTCAGAAACCCAACGTGAGCGGAGGCAACGGGCTGAAACCAGACGGCTCACAGACGGGCGTGTCTGTTCTGCGGTCAGCAGTGACAGTAGGAAGGTTTCAGAACTGGCTTCCAGCTTTGACTGAAAACGAGTTTCAGAAATCTGCGAATCTCTCAGCAACAAAGCAAATGAGGGAATTTCCCACGATGATTTAAACGTGGAGTTAAACACAAAGTCAGCCGACCCCCAAAAAGGAGCGGGCTCTGCGCGTCGGCCTCTGCGAACAGCACGATCTCTCTGCAAAGACAGCGTGGGGGGAAAAACAGGATTTTCTCTTTTTGGTGTTTATCCTGGAAGTTGATGGATTGAACTGAAACGGCCTGAAGGAGCGTTCGTCTCCCCGGTGTTTTGTTTACCGCCGAGACGCTGGCGTCGACGTCACTTTGCCAGCCGGCGGTCCCAAAGGTCAACATCGCCGCGGTGATCGCTGACGAAAAGGCCCGACTTGGTCTGACAGCCGTGGGGGTAAATGTCAAAAGAGGCATCCAAGCAGGTGGGCAGAGGACACAGTCCAGAGGGAGAGGAGGAAGAAAACAACAACACAGAAACAATCAAAGAATTCCATTCAGGCACAAACGTGACAGCTGAGGGCCCCCGACGATGATGATGGTGGGCCAGCGACTCTACGTCTGTGACGAAGATCCCAGATGGCTGTAATGTCACTACAGAATGGGTCAGCTGACGGAGGTCGCGGGAGCAGACATCCTCGTGTTAGTTCATCACGTCGCTCTGACGTCAAGACCTCGCACACCTGCTCTCTGAAAACAGACTTAAACATGACACACTGGAAAAGACGGCAAAAGCCTCGTGACCGGCAGCCTGACTGGGAACATCTACTCCCGGCCCACTATGACCTTCCTCCTTTCGCTGAAGCGTTTTTGTCTTTTTTCTTCTTCTTTTTTTAATCTATTGCACATTTCCTCGTGGGTTCAGAACGAAAGAAAAAAAGAGGAAATAAGAAAAACGAAGTAAAAGCATGAATAAAGATGCTACACAGCTAAACGCAGGCTCGACACAGAACGATTCCCTTGCAAGTAAGTTCAGCTCAATCAAACAAAGCGATATGCAATAATAATAATAATAATAATAATGAATGTGCTGGAGCGAAATGTTCAGAGTGATTCGACACATTTACATAATGCCTTCGTCTCAAAGGATGGGGCCTGTCAGCACCCAGACGGTTACTGGTTTTATTTATAGGTCCATACATCAGTGATTTTATTACCATCACAGGACACGCTGATGGTTTCTGTTTGAATGAGGGGAACTATGGAAATAATAATACTATTCATTATAAATATGCTTTTATCAGGCATTATGTAAAGCACAATAAAGATGAAGGAAGTGCCCGTGATTTGCTAAAGCTGCAGCAAACAGCATCGAGAAAAAAAAATCACTTTTCAGAAACTAAATTCTTGCCCAATGCGAAACAAAATGTGCAATAAAACAGTTTTAGCTGCACTGAGATTAAAAACAAAACAGTTTTTGTGGAGACTCACTGACCAGCAGCGCATTTCTTATTGCACTGAGGTAGGACTGCAGGAAAGCCTCAAAGTCACGTTGTAGTACCGTCAATTTCCACAAGAGGGCTCCAATTTGACCAAATCTCCTGCCACTGAGAGCAGAACTCATCCTCATGTTTGGAAAATATTAAATAATTAGAAAAAAACATTCAATAAATAACATGCTGAGTTTTTACTGCATCTTTACATTAATGCACCATAAAAGCAGTTTTTAAAGTGCACTAACTCACAAAACAGAACCACTTCGTTCCTCGTTATTGTCGGTGTGCGATCACAGAGAGACCACAAAAACACAAATATGGTTTTGTTAAAATAGATAACTGCGATCTAGCAGGTACTGCACTTTGTTTAGTACTATGATACTGTCCAGCAGGAACATAATGAGAAGTTCGTGTTCGTTAGAAAATGTATTTCAGCAGTCTTGAACATCAGCCATCAGAATTTTGAACTTTGACTCCTTTTGGAAGAATTATTTCTACCGTCACATTTCAAACAGTCGCTAATAACAATAAAATAGCTACTCTAGTCTCTGTTTAAATCCCAATACTGCACAGCAATATCTGATATTACAATTAACTGTTCACTTCCTTCAAGTGCTTCCAGATACTGATAGAAACCTCGTTTTAGGCAGTTTGGTGAAAGTGTGTTACCATTTGTACCGTAAGTAAACGGTAAAATCCCCAAAACTGCCAATGAAGTGATATCTCTCTTTGGTTCGATCACATTTTGGCCTCTAATCTATTCAAATAAATCCCTGGATTAAAGTTATTTCACTACGTTTCCAGTATGCTTGCAATTCATCACCGCGATAGCTGCATTATGACAACACAATATACACAAAATCATTAGTTCCTGGAGCTAAAAGCTGTGCAATGAGGTTATCCTTACGCTTGTATGAGGTCTCATTGTTCCGTTGCTTGTTCTGTATTTTTCAAGTTTCACAGGTTTGTTGGTTTTTTTAAATAAATTTGTTCTCCCAGATGACTACATCCAGGAAAAATGACACTAAGATATTTCTGTGGTATCTTTGATAGAAACAGTTTACAGAAACCGAGCGTCAGCCATCTATTCTGCCAGAGTCGAGCTTTGGCTCGTCCAATTCAAGGCTGTCGGTGGAAAACAGATGTCACAAGAAAGCAGAAATAATTCTCTAAGGAAGACTTGCATCAGCACGAGACACGTTAACAGAAACAAACTAAAGAGAAGTTGTGATGATGAGATTCAACTATCGTCTTTGTTTGATGACTTTGTGGCTTAAAACAAATAAATCCTCTGGGAACTTGAGTCCCTTCACTCGTGCTTTTCTTTCTTTATCGAACTGAAGACGTCTAAATCCAAACTTTGCGCTTCGAACTCGTAACTTTGTATAGAAACGCTCTCGGTGGTGTTCATAGGACTATGGCACTCTGTAAAGATTTGGTTGATTTACTGGTTTGCCATCCACCATTTAGAACCTTCGTCCAGGTGACCAAATACAAAAGGCACTTATTGGCCATCGTAGTCAGTGATGGGCAGGATGAGCGTAGCCACTACTCTTCTCCGCTTCTGTGTTACATGACACAAACCTCTTTAAGAGGTCATCGCTCCCAGTTAGACCAGTTTACATGTCAGACACAGCATCCACCTCGAACTTCCTCAACCAGCGTGGCCAATTCCATGTTCCTGTCTCTGCTTCCAGGTAAAATATTGAAAATCTTCCCACTCCTTTCGTATAAATTTTAGTAAACCAGCACTAAAAGTGTCCTTTTTTATCAGATTAAAACATCTTTCTCCTTACACAGTCTGACCTTATGTCAATTTTCAAGGACATATTGCTTAAGGGAGATTGCGGGTAACATTCTCAAGGAGTGATGCCGCCGCCCATGGGCCTAGAGCGGGGAATGGGGGCTGGGGGTGGGCGTGGCTACGAATGTAGGCTTGCCTTTATTTTTTCCGCTCAAGGTAGTTAGAAGGGACCCAGCCTTTGCGGGGAACCAGGCTGTCCTGCACCTGGCAGTACCACCACCCATTGGGGTTTCTCTCCAACACCTCCAGACAGGTTCCCTCTGTGAACCCCATGGTCTCCTCGTCGCCACGGTAATCGGCAATGGACACATACACATCCCTGCCAAGGTTGTTGTGGATCAGCTGGCTCTTCTCCAAGGGCTTGGGTCTGACCGTGGACACGGGGATACCGTTGCGTTGGTTAACTCTGCTCAGGGCGTCTTGGACATTGCTTGTGCTGAACGCGCTCCCCGAAGACAGACTGGAGCGTTCGGCAGGCCTCGTTTGGCTTTCAACAACTACGTGTGGCCGCACGGTGCTGAATGAGGCATTTCGGCGAACTCCAAGAGTGGCAGAACCAGAACCATAGTGATCGCTCCTGCCCAGCGACTCGTTCCTTCTCAAGGACCCTGTTGTGTAGTGCGTGTCCTTGGCTGGCTGCGTAGTGGTGACAAATACAGACTGAGGCCTCACCGCCACCTGGCGTACCCCGTTCCTCATCCTCACGCCTCCATTAACCATCCCAGATGGCTTCGAGAAGCCGCCGGGAGGCTTGGAAGGAATCGGTGGGGAGTTCCTCCTCAAGCCTTGATGCTGCTGCGTCAGGCCCTGAATATTAATGTTATTGAGGGCCAAAACATGCTGCTCATTCTTCTCCAGGCTGTTGGACTTACTCCCACCACTCCCGTGTCCGTCTAAGCCACCACCGTCGCCCATTTGTCTGACAGGTTCCAGGTAGTATGAGGGAGCCCAGCCTTCTTCGGCGCTCCAACGGATGTACCACCAACCACTCTCCTGTTTCTCCAAAACCTCGACCTCAGCCCCAGCTGGAAAACTGATCTCAGAGTCCTGGACTTTCTTATAGGCGTCCACGGAGCGGTAGAGATTGGGGCCCTCCACATCGGAGTCACCACGGCTTCCTTTGGAGTAAACAGAGGAGAGATCTGAGGTACTGCGTGAACACACCGAGTCCTCTGATGATATAACAGAAGCTGTTTCAGAGTCCTCCCCGCGAGAAGGTTTGAGGCTATGTCTAAACTGACTCGTAGGCCTCAGCTGTCGTCTCAGAGAGGTGATGTCCATCCTCTCTGGACTCTGGGGCTCTGATTTGGTCAAAAGGGGCTTAGGTCTGACGGAAGGCTTGGGCCTGGTGGAGGGGCTCTGGCCTATTCTCTGCTCCACCTCCTGGTTGAAGACAGGGCCTTTCTTGGAGCCTCTGCTCAATTCATCTGATGACGAGTGAGGGCTGTTATCCTGGGATCTGAAGCTGATATCTATGTGTCTGCCCAGAGTCTGGCTTCTCCGACTCATCTCTGGTGTCATGGTTTTCATGGGCCTGCCAGGTAGAGGCGAAGATCCGGAGGGTTTTCTTGGGACTGTGGAGGAATGGTAGCTCCGTGGGGAGTTAGGCTCACTGGAACCTTTAGTCAGGGTTCTTTCAACACCGCCGCTCGGCCTGAAGCCATCATTCTCATAGATACACTCCTCCTTAGCAACCTCCTCTACAGACCTGAAGGAGGTTCTTCGATGGGCGAAAACTGGAGACGCCTTGCAGACAGGAGGGGACGCCTTGCAGGAAGGAGGGGAGGCTTTGCAGGAAGGAGGGGAGGCTTTGCAGGAAGGAGGTGAGGCCTTGCAGACAGGAGGTGAGGCCTTGCAGGACGGAGGGGAGCTGCTGTACTTGTCGCTGACCACACTGTTGATCTTCACATCGCGGGAACGCTCGTCCTTCAGGGGATCCGGTTCAGGCTCACCTTCGCATCCGACTGCAGGAATATCATATTCAGGTTCTTCGTACACAGCCCTGCTAGGCACCTCTGTGGTTTTGGAGGAAGAGTTAGCAGAAGGCGGAGCCTCCTCAGATTCTTGTTTTTTGACAGGTGGAGCTGGAGGAGGGACTTTGGGGCGGGTCAGTGTGCTGGACCTACGACTGAGGTTGGGCTTTTTGCGCTTGTCGATGTAGGAGCAGGGGGCCCAGCCCTCCATCTCCCCAATCTGCACGTACCACCAGCCTCCAGGATTCTTCTCTATTACCTGCAAAACAAGGAGTAAAGAGTTACTGGAACAAATACTCACATACAGTATGTATATATATATATATAGTTTGCTACATACTAGTGATTAAAGACTGAGTAATACTGTAATAAGATCAATGATGCATCTGTTACTGCAGTCGTTAAAAGAATCACCTCAGTATAACTTAATAAAAAACCCTTGAAGGAATCTCTGTCATTATCTCCACCCTCATCCTGAATCCTGCACAGTGAATTGTGTCTACGTCATCACTTTCACACACAGTATCCAAGGTCGTCTCCTTTGTGCCTCAGCTTTCCTGCCTATCGGGGGAGCACTCAGTCTGCATACGTATTCAACAGGCCCTGTCTCATCTGAGCGACAGCACTGTAGATCTGGCCTCTTACATCAGCCTTTTGTCCTCCACGGAAACTGATGCCATCAGAGATCGAGGACTGGAAATCTGCTATAGTGTAATACTCTGCTTCCACAGCAGGGGGCTCTGGTGGCTTGGGTAACTGGAAGCCCTGTACAGCAAAGAGAGAGAGAAGTGAGCCCCTCACGTTGAGCCATCCTGTATCTGACACACATAAAACATAAGATGTGATTTATGACTGCATGCAATCATGATATATAAATATGAGGGTAAATGTAAGGTGTGCACGTGCGATACCGGGACAATCGCAGACATGCTGAAAATGAGTAAATGTGCCTCAATGGTTGCTATGCAACTCCTGCAGTAGTCTGAGAGCCAATTAGATTTTTTCTCTTTTTATATTATTTATTGGTATTTATCCTTGCACTGAAAGATTTTGCAGCTGCCTTCTTAAACACAAGAAGAGTCTCGACTGTGATCACGTGTACTTCAGCAGAAGCATGGCAACATCACTGAGCACGCAGGAAAGGCGCTCTGGGTTTGTCAGTAAGTCTTACCAAGTTGGTGTCTCTTCTGGGGGGAGGTTTTTGCCGCAGATTAGGAGACCCTGATTAAAAATAATAAGATTTTATTAAGAATAATTCAGAAAAACGACCAAAGTAAAAGGTTGACACTCGCTGTAACAAACAAACACCAAACATTTAGTTCTAAGATGAATTATGTCACACTGGAAAGGACAACATATTTAAAGACAAGCAAAAGTAAGATTTGAAAGACTGATTTTGTCCTGGCTTTGGACGCCATGTGTGGAGCATCGGTTTGTTAAAAAATGGGCTCGTCCCAAAGGATGGATGGGCGGAGCCGAGCGATGTCTTAGTAACCACAAACTGACCACAGGTTCTTAGTTTGTGAGTGAAACCGAGGCCGAAACACACACCGAGCATGTTATCACATCACAGGTTAGTGTGACAGAGCGCGGTTAGACGCAGCAGCCGTGTAGCTTACCTACGGCGCCGAATCCTGCACAAATGGAAAGGGGCACGTCTTAATGTTGCATTCAAGCTTTAGGCTGAACTTTAACCTTTACACACAACACGTTCTCTCACCGATTTCCACTCTGTGCGGTGCCACTCTTGCAACAGCCGGGGAGCCCGGCTCGCCTCTCGCTTTATTCTCATTCAGGGCGGCGCTCGCCGCTATTCCGAGACACGGGCTGTTGGTGTCCCGGCCCGCGCTCAGCCTGCGGCCTGTCGCGGCGTTGATTTCGGAGGGCATCGGCAGGCTGATCTCGCTCTTGGAGAAGTGGCGTTCCGGCGTGGTTCCGCCCTCTCCGTCTGTCTGGATGTCCTTCTCGCTAACAGACTTCTTTTGCAGCAGGTTGCTGATCTCCATGATGTTTCCGATGATCTCCACGGGGCCCGTCAGCGTCTTCTTCCGTGGGGAGAAATCCTCTTTAATCTTCTTCAAGTAGGAGGCCGGGGCCCAGCCCTCTTTCCCTAAATACCTGCAGCCCAAACACATAAAGACAGAACGTTTAATATGACATCGAGTTTATGTTTCCTTCATTATTATGATTGAACTCAGGATCAGGTAAAGCTGCCCTTTCCATACAGCACAGAGCAGGAAGTAGACTGTGCCAGGAGTGACCTGCTGTCCCACTGCAAAATCTCAGGTTTCACTCTTATTAGTTTCCCCTGACCCTCCCTGATCCTGGTTCTCTTCCTGCTAAAAGGGAGTTCTTTCTTCCTGCTATTGCCAGGTTCTTGCTCACAGGTGGAGGGAGCGCTCTCTTTATTTAATATTGCAATTTTCCAACATAAAGCACTTTGAGCCTGCATTCGGGAGTGAATTCCACAGCATGTCTTTATCCTGTCTTCCTTCTCTCACCCCAACCAATCACAGCAGATGGCCCCGCCCCTCCCTGAGCCTGGTTCTGCTGGAGGTTTCTTCCTGTTAAAAGGGAGTTTTTCCTTCCCACTGTCGCCAAAGTGCTGCTCATAGGGGGTCGTGTGATTGTTGGGTTTTTCTCTGTATCCATTATTGTAGGGTCGACCTTACAATATAAAGCAGCTTGAGGTGACTGTTGTTGTGATTTGGCGCTGTGTAAATAAAACTGAAATTAATTGAATTCATTTAGACTTTAGATCATGATGTTATTTTTTAACACTGATTGAATCTCTCGCTGAAGCCATTTTTTAAAACTCCAGCTGACATCCAGGTCTTCCCTCTCCATCACTGCTCTGCTCCCAACAATGAGCCAGCATTCAGTACACCTTGGTACATACGTGTGTGTGTGTGTGTGTGCTACTGTTTCCTACTGCAGCTGTGTAGTAACAGTAGTGTAATGAGCTCAGCATGGGAGCTTCATTTAGCGCATTTTAATACACTCAGAAAAAACGTGTGATTTGAGTAATGACTGAATGTATCGCAGCAGAGCTTTAATGCACTCGAGTACCATCCTAACTTAGTGCATGATGCCACTATGAGCTATACGTACAGTTAATAAATAACTGAAAAATTCCACAATTTCTAGTGTTTAAAAATGCATGAAATCACACCGAGTCAGATCCTGTGTGTTGCAATAAAGGCACAATTTTAATTCTGGTGATGTGAGTAGCCAAAGGCAAGTAAACAGAATGCATAATAGATGCAAAGAGATGCTGCTTCCCCACATTTAAGCAGACATTGTTATGCTAAACGAGTAATTTCAGAGTGCTTAGTGAAACAATAAGTAATGCTCCAAATGAAACTCCGAGTCATTTCCCCGACACAGAAGAGACGCGACTGTTCCCTGTTTTCCGTTTCACGACTCCCAACTGCGACCACAAGGAGTCCCCGTAACTAAAAAAGCTTCATGCATGGACTTTGCTGTTTAAAGAAGGGCCCACTGAGAGCAGCGTGACTCAGACATGCATCTGCAGGATTATTTTCTGTTGGACACGGTGCTCAGAAATGACTCTGTGTGCACTGCAGGGAGTGCCAAAGAGCGAACAAGCTGTTAGGAAAGCAGTCAGTGTACATGACAAGTGCACACACGGCAGCTCGCGTACGCGCCTCAAACAGGAGCTCTGGATCCATGTTTGTGTACGCGCTGGTATGTGAGGCTCCACAAGGCGTCATGTGATAGTAATCAGCTGTGCAGCGGAGCGCCCGGGGACTCGAGGAACTGAACAACTGTGAGGAAATACACACCGGCTGAGTAAACGACACACACGTGCAAACACGCAGGCGGCTCTGACGCCACCATATGTTAACGCTTTCTTCTCAGCGCCATTATGCAAATGAGACCTCCAGGAAATTGTTGCTCTGATCGCCGAGACGACGACGAGCAACAGCCTCGCGGTGAAATGTGCGGGTTCGGCGTGCACCGTTTACCCACCTGATGTACCACCAGCCCTCCAGGTTCTTTTGGATGACCTCCACGGTGACCCCTTTCTCAAAGCTCACCTCGTCTTTTCCTTGGCTGGCGTACGGCTGGATCGTCACATATTTCTCCTCTGCGGGGGTAAAGGAGAGAGGAAACAAGATCATTGAAAAGTCTCACACTGCTGTAGATTACACCATCTCAGAGGGAGAAAACGGTCAGTGTGACCCACTTTAAACGCCATTTCCACGCCAACAGAAACACGAACCTCTCGTCTTTGACCTGCCTGCACATAAATAGCAAACGGCGCCCTCTACAGGCCGAACCTTTAGGCCTCGCTCAGGCTACATGAACCCAGATTCAGAATCATTACCACGCAGCTCTCAAAGAGAGAAGATCCAGAAGCAGCAGCTGGTGCTGATGGTGGTCACGAGGCTGCTGCACGTCTGATGCATGAATACAAATGGCAGCTGTTGTAACGCAGATCACGGTTTCCTAATAATTACAGAATTACAGTATTTTACTACAATTAAAACCCTGTTAGGATAAACCTAAGTAAACCTACGTCACAGCCTTTCCTGTTTCACCCAGCACGAGCGCTCCTTTTAAAGCTCACGTCTTTGGTCCACTAATGTGCAGCAGAGTGGAATTACTGACCCAGAGCCTGCACTCAAAAACACACTGGGTGTGGAGGTGAGCACTTGCAGATGGACAGAGAATAACAAGTCAGATCTGGAGCATCTGATAAATGTTGTTATGGTCGTCTCGAGCCGAGCGTGTGCATCAGTTTGTTGTCTCTAATTCTTTCATCTGGAAGAAAAGATGAAAGATCCAATTAATCTCATCTGTGTTTGTTTTTTCGTGAGCTGTACACGTGCGTCCGTCTCCGAGTTCACGCGTTGCTGGCGTCACAGAGCCGCGAGCCGAGTGGGCGGGACTGTAAATCAGTGCTGCAAACAACAGCGCGGTGATAAACCTCAGGGACACCCCACCCCTGCCGTCAGCAGCTGATCCACCACCACCGAGAGGTCGAGACACCCTGACCTGGCTTTGTGTCAGGATGAATCAACGTGAGGAGATGTGCTGTAATTGAATTTGAGTCAAGGTCTCCAGTGAAGCTGTGTCAGCAGGGTGTGAGAGCGACTGTTCTCCCATTAGCAAATTGCATCCTGAGAGAACATAAATCTCCTGTGATCAGTCTTTGTTTTTGTCCTTTACTAAATCAAACTACATCTGAAGCGTCTGCATGGAGCTCTAGCTCAGGAACGCATTAGCAGCCGGGGACGGGGGGGCGGGGGCTCCATTCGGTGGAATAACTCGAGTTTTTCACACTTTTCTCTGCTTCGCTCAGCTTTCTGCAGCTCCTGGTAGCAGACCCGAACCATCTGGTTGCCAGGCAGCATAAAGCGCCTGGGACGTTGGCCCGCAGTCGAGAGCGGCGGTGGACGAAAAAGCCACGAGAGCTGAAGTCTGACATGACTACAGTGAGCACTGCTCCAGCTTTAATGCCGAGACTGTTTCTGATGGTGGAAAAAAGGCGACCGGTCCAGGAGTCTTTAGCCTGTTTGCAGCCAGGAGCACTCGCTGCCGTGAAACTCGTCTGACCCCGGCTTCTCTCAGTCCTCTGTGACCTCACGTCATCGGGACGACTTTTTCAGCCAGTAAACCTCAGCAGGCTCGTTCTCTGCCTCCGTTACTAAATATGTTACAGGACGGATCAAAAACATCTTTGTAGCGGATCGATGTTGATTCAGTTCTCATATTTTTGGGCCGTATGCTGGGAACAGGTCGTGTGCCTCTCATATAAAACCTGCTGTTCCCATCGCTCTGATGTTTTTGTGGTTACTCCAGTTCATGTAGGGTGACAGACGGGGTTTACGGGGTCAACCGTGTTGACCACAGGTCGCCCCGTCATGTCAAATTAGCAATGCTAATGCCCTGTAAACACCTGAAAGCTCGGGATTCACTGATAACACAGATCTTCACAGTCGCTGACAAACACCACAAAAGCTGCTTCCATCAGGGCGCTGGATTAACAGCTGAACGGAGGCTACGTCCACACTAATGCGCCTGATGGTGGTTGGGAAAGCCCGCCCCTGAAGGTAAACGCAGCGTTTCACAGCTGTAGAGCTCCGACACGCCCTGCTCGCACACTATCCTCCACAGTTCAAGCAACAACTTTCTAACCAGCGTCGCACCAGCAGCCTCACTGTGTGTCTGGGACTTTCACATTTTACTTTCACCACCCAGAAACATTTAATGGAGGCACGGTGTGTACCAACATCACAAAATTGGAACGACACCACCGAGCAATAAAAGCTAAAAAGCTAAGGTGTCTTAAACAGCAGGAATTAGAGAGCAGCTTGGTGGCGACAGCTAGTCGAGTGACTCATCCACGCTGCAGAGGTCTGTGTGATTAAAAGCAGGCTACAGATTGCGCCCCTGCCCCACTTTCACACTTTCCATTGGATCGTTGGGTCGTTCTGGGAGACGCAGCTGTAGTCAGGCGACATTCCCGCGGACATGGCCGACCCGTACGGTCACATTCCATGAACGAAGTGGTAATCCTTTAATATTTCTACATTAGCCACTACGGCTGGTGACAAAGAGGTCCCCACTCTGAATTCATAACCAGCTGAGTGGGAGATGTGAATGAGTAATGCCCCCCTGCTTCTCAACCACATTTCAGATAAGATAAGATAAAACTTTATTAATCCCTCGGGTGGGTTCCTCTGTTTCCAAGAGCACAGCAAGTTACAGAACGTGAGCAGAATATTACATATACACATATATAAATACAGAGACATGTGTAAATAAAATATACGAAAGGGATAAATAGAATAAATAGGAACAAGAATACAAAGGAACTGCACGTTTCAAGTATTGAGTCTATTGCACTGTTGACTATTAACAAAAGGTATTGCACAGTGAGGTGAAGAGGCACTACAGCTTAGTTGTTCCCCCCTCCTCTGTCCTCCTGTCTCCCCTCCCTCTCCCCTCCAGAGAGGAGTTAAACAGTCTGATGGCGTGTGGGACAAAGGAGTTTTTAAGTCTGTTAGTTCTTGTCTTGGGGAGAAGCAACCTGTCACTGAACAGACTCTTCTGGTTGTTTATGGCCGTGTGCAGAGGATGCCTGGCATTGTCCATAATGTCCATCAGTTTCTTTAGTGTCCTTTTCTCTGCCACTGTCACCAGAGTGTCCAGCTTCATGCCGACCACAGAGCTAGCCCTCCTGATCAGTTTCTCCAGCCTGATGAGTCCTTCTTTGCTGTGCTGCTCCCCCAGCACACCACAGCATAGAAAAGTACTCCAGCAACCACTGACTGGTAAAACATCCTCAGGAGCTTCCTGCAGATGTTAAAAGACCTCAGCCTCCTGAGGAAGTACAGTCGGCTTTGTGCTTTTTTATACAGGTGCTCTGTGTTGCATGACCAGTCCAGTTTGTTGTCCACCCACAGCCCGAGGTACTTGTACGTGTTGACCACCTCCACCTTTGTCTAACGTGGCTGTGATGTACGACTCCATCTCCATCATACTGCTCTCATTTACAGCCCGCTTTAGGTCAACTTCAACACTTCCATCAGGAGCCCACTCTGTAGATCAGCCGGGTCGGATTAATCATTAATCAGTGCTCTGCTGCCTGCTGGTCCAGGACTGAGTGGACGCAGAGCTTCAGTCGGGGAATTTAAAGGTTCTTAGAGGTTTTCCCTTGTTTTCTGGGCTCGGGACGAGCTTCCGTAAACACGGCACAGCTACAAGGCGTCTTTATGAAGCAGCCAAACCGACAGTCTGGATTAGAAAGCGCCGGCTCGCTCCTCAGCAAAGAGACGCTTGTTTGTTTCTCTCACGTTTCAGCATTTACGCAAAAATGACTCGACAAAACCACAAGTATCCAAAAATTAAAACTGAAATGTGAAAGTCATAAACAGCCTTTCAAAGCTAATGAAGCAACAACACTGTTACGCAACCATTTACATGACGGGGCTCGGCGGCCGTCGAGGTCGCGGCGCTCGTGCTGCGGGTGCCGAACGCTTCATTATCTAAATCTGTTTAATGCAGTCCAATTATTTTGCTTCTCAGCGAGAGCCGGGGAGCGTTCCACGTCTGAGGGAGCAAGATTTGAGATTCTACTGTCAGAGCTGACTCATGGCCACCCAATATGCTGCAGATACTGGGCCACTTGTTGTTTTTGTGTTAGTTGTTCACCACATAGATGCAGATTACGTGAAAGGAGAGCTGCAGCTACAGCTGTGTGATTAAAAACACTGTATTAGTGTATCGAGCAGCAGACCGAGCCTGACAAAAGGACTCGTGTTAGAACAGCCTGAGCTTCTAACTCACAGGGATTACAAACACCGAGCGCCCTACTTGACTTAATCGTTCACTTTGGCCACGTTTAACACAAACATCCACATCCAGGAAATAAAGAAGAACACAACAGCTCCCACTTAATGCTGCTGAGACAGGACCACACATCAAAGAGTCATTTTATCTTAAACAGACTCCAAATTAACCTCGAACATCTCATTTACCCTGAACTGTTGCACAGATCTCTGTGGCAACACTTTACTCTTTGTTTCCAACTTGGCTACAGGGACACACAGGGACACACAGAGACACACAGGGACACACAGAGACACACAGGGACACACAGGGTCACACAGAGACACACAGAGACACACAGGGACACACAGGGTCACACAGAGACACACAGAGACACACAGAGACACACAGGGACACACAGGGACACACAGAGACACACAGAGACACACAGAGACACACAGGGACACACAGAGACACACAGGGACACACAGGGTCACACAGGGACACACAGAGACACACAGAGACACACAGGGACACAGGGTCACACAGAGACACACAGGGTCACACAGGGACACACAGAGACACACAGGGTCACACAGAGACACACAGGGTCACACAGAGACACACAGAGACACACAGGGACACACAGGGTCACACAGGGACACACAGAGACACACAGGGTCACAC